CTGCGGTGCGGGGCCCTCTTAGCGCGGGGCCCAATTCAGCCGAATCGGCTGAATCGGCCTAAAGCCGGCCCTGCATGGATCAGTTCTGGGTCTGGTTCTGTTCAATATCTTCATCCATGATTTAGATAATGGCATAGAGAGTATATTTATAAAGTTTGCGGATGATACCAGGCTGGAAAGGGTTGCAAGTGCTTTGTAGGATAGGATTAACGTTCACAATGATCTGGACAAACTGGAGAAATGGTCTGAAGTAAATAGGATGAAATGCAATAAGGACAAATGCAAAATAGTCCACTTGGGAAGGAACAATCAGTTGCACACATACAAAATGGGAAATGACTGCCTAGGAAGGAGTACTGCGGAAAGGGATCTGAGGGTCATAGTGGATCACAAGCTAAATATGATTCAACAGTGTAACCCTGTAGGAAAAAAAGCAAACATCTTTCTGGGATGTATTAGCAGGAGTGTTGTAAGCAAGACATGAGAAGTAATTCTTTCGCTCTGCTCTGCGCTGACTAGGCCTCAACAGGAGTATTGTGTCCAGTTCTGGGTGCCACATTTCAGGAAAGATGTGGACAAATTGGAGAAAGTCCAGAGAAGAGCAACAAAAATGATTAAAGGTCTACAATACATGACCTATGAGGGAAGATTTAAAAAATTGTTTTTTTTTCATCTAGAGAAGAGAAGACAGAGAGGGGACATGATAAAAGTTTTCAAGTACATAAAAAGTTGTTATGAGGAGGAGAGAGAAAAATTGTCCTCCTTAACCTCTGAGGACAGGACAAGAAGCAATGGGCTTAAATTGCAGCAAGGGAGGTTTAGGTTGGACATTAGGAAAAATTTCCTAACTGTCAGGGTGGCTAAGCACTGGAATAAATAGCCTAGGGACGCTGTGGAATCTCCATCATTGGAGATTTTTAAGAGCAGGTTAGACAAACACCTGACAGGGATGGTCTAGATAATATTTAGTCCTGCCATGAGTGCAGGGGACTGGACTAGATGACCTCTCGAGGTCCCTTCCAGTCCCATGATTCTATGATTCTAAGTCTATTACACCAGGGATATGTTTGGCCCAAAGCATTTATAGAACCGTAGATATCGCTGGTGCCTTGATTCACAAATAGACCTGATCAGATTTTGCTAACTGTAAACTTTTAAAACTGCGATTTTCTTCCTTTCTCGTAACTTACATTTTAAATCCCAGTTCCAGGGCTGTCTAGGAGGAGCCATTCTACTATTAGGAATGATTTCTCCCATTAACGCATTGTAAGTAGGTATAAAGCAGAACCGCTTTAGGAGAAAACTTGCTGATGTGGGGCCAGATTTATGATTATTAATTATTATTTGTCTTGCAGCAATGCCTATAGACCTTGACAAGCTCAAGGACCCCATTGTGCCAGGCATTGTACAAACATATACGAAATGACAGTCCCTGCTCTGAAATGCTTAGAGCAGAGAAGCTTGCTGGCTGCTCCAGCATGACTGCATTGGCCAGGGGGAGAAGGTGCAGGGAACATCTTTCTTCCCTTAGCAGTTCTGTGCGGGCAGCTATGCTGCCTGGGCCTGATTCTCCTCTCACTTACTCCAGCCAGACTCCCTTATAATCCAGAGGTCAGTGGAGTCACACTGGTGTGAGAAGACAAGGTAGGCTCCCTGAGTGCAAAAGGGGGTGGCCAGTGTAACACACAGGGCTGTGTGTTAAGTGTCCTCCTGTGTGCCTGACCCACGGAGGGTGCAAGTAAAGCCGGGCTCTTTCTCTCGAGCTGTAGAGACTCATCCTGCTAGCTCTGGAGGTCCCCATTTCTGTCCCCAGTGTGATAAGATGGTGGCTGTCACGTCAGCTGCACTCAGTGTTCCTGAGGGGCAAGGTCCTGTGCTCCAGCAAGTGGCATCAAGTCTGTGCTGCGGGGGGAGGGGATGCAAATGCTACACCTGTTCTAGTTTAGCAATTCCCACGGGGAGGATGCTCCCCCATTCTCTGGAGGCATCATATCAACTCATGCCCTGCAAAGAGCCCCCAGGGAAGCCAGTGGGAGTTTCCTCCTGTGAATCGAGGGTTCCAAATCTGTTGGTCTCATTGAGTCTCCTCCCGACAGCCAGATCTGTTCCCTTTGTCGAGGAGCTGGTGCAAGAGGCTCGCATGCTGAGCTACTCCCGATTTGCACTAGTGTACGTGGGAGGAGAATGAAGCTGCTGCTGTCTGTTCTCATCTCTGTCACTGAGTAGCTGTGTCCCCCTCAGGCAGCCCACTTCCCTGGGGTTCAGCTTCCCCAGGTGTAAAATGGGGATTAATATACCTATCTCCCAGAGGCGCTGGGAAGCTTAATCCCTCCATAGTGCTGAGCGGATTATAACTACCAAGAAAGAATTCATGCTTGTAAAGCACTTTGAGGCTTTGGGAGGAAAAGTGCTAGGTAAGTATAAAGCATTATTCTTAAACATACCACTCAGGACTCGTTTAAATAAAACAGTTCAAAACAGAGTCCTTCAATAGCTAAGCAACTGCTGTTTCCTCAGGTTTCAGTCTCATTTCTTTGGATCCAGTCCTGCTCTCTGAAGAACCTAACTAGAGTAGATCACACATCAGTGGCAAAATCTGAGGCCCGAATTCTCAAAGGTATTAAGGCCCCTAACTCCCTCTGAAATCAATGGAAGTGAGGTACCTAAATACCTTTGAGGATCTGAGCCTGACTCACTTCAGTGGGAACGGGAGGTAATTCACTATGTGTAGATATTGATATTTTTATCTGCTCTTCAG